CTGTGAGTAGGGCCATGCTCGTTCATAGCAAAGAGCAAACTGTTCTAAGTCGGTCTAACATCTGAACAAATAACAATCAAGTCTTCAGAATTCTATTCTGGGAAGCATGGGAATAATAAACATTTTTTTTAAGATTTTATTTTTAGAGAGGGAATGGGGGGGGGAGAGAGAGAGAGAGAGAGACATCAATGTGCGGTTGCTGGGGGTCATGGCCCGCAATCCAGGCATGTACCCTGACTGGGAATCGAACCTGCGACACTTTGGTTTGCAGCCCATGCTCAATCCACTGAGCTACACCAGCCAGGGCCCAGAATAATAAACATTTTAAAGTAATAGTTACCAATGTCTCTTCACAGTCAGAGAAAAATTCCCAATGGTACATGAATGAAATATCGAATTTTAAGCAAACGGACTCTAAATTAGTTGCAAATTGTGCTCTTAAGTAACTGTGAAGGAGTTGACCTGCAGTGCAGTTTAATTTGGTTGATTACATTTTGTGTCAAAAATGATGGTTTTATGGTAGTTGATCTTGGGCCATTTCCCCAGGGAAAGAGACTAGGACCTTTTGTTGTTGAGGCCATTCTGAGAGTCTCGACAATGTGGAAGACACGCTCAGTTTTCTGTTCTCTTCAGCAGGAAGCAAGTACCTAGATCCTCCAAATATTAAGAGGGAGGTTACAGAAAGATCCCTCTATATCCCTCTATTTTCTCATCTGTGTGGTGGTGATGTAACAGCATTGTCTTCACAGAGGTATTATGAAGATTAAATATGTAAAAGCAGTTAGAACTGTGTCTGGCACATAATATACATTCAATATGTCTTAGCTATTGTTATTGCTATTACCATTTCTCAGAGTTTTTGTCAGATTTGACAAAATAAGTCCTGCTGACCCTCATTCCATAAAGATAGTAAAGGGCTGGTTTTCTAAAGGAATTAGTCTCGAGCAGGTCCCTGAACTGTTTGTAGAGATCAGCCTGAGACTGGCGCCCAGAGTTAGAGGCCAAGGAAACAAGCAGCAATTCCATCTGCACACCGCCTTAATATTGTTTTTGATAGATCTCTGTGGAGGCTGATACAGTCAATTGTAGGATTACTGTTTCTCAAGTGGAAAAAAAATGGCTTGAGGAATTCACATTTAATTTTTTTAAGTAGAAATGGAATATACTCCTTTACAAATGTCAGAGTTTATCCTGTGTTAAGCATTTGAGATTATATCAGTTTTATTCCTGGAGGAAGCAGACTGGCAGGATTTGGAGCACACCAGTTGTACCGGACTTTGGGTGGCTGTAGGTCCAGGAAGTTTAAACTGGGACTCATGTGATTCGGGGATTATAACACTGCGGCCAGGAATGTGGGCTTTGCAGTTGGACCGCCCGGACTGGAGTCACGGCTCTGTCCCTGAACTTGCTGTGAGCACTCCAGCAAGTTACTTGGTCTAATCTTCAGGTCCTCCCTTGCCTATAACTCAAGGTGATATAACCCACTAATACAGTTGTCGGGAAGAGGTTCAAATAAGACAACGCAATGAAAATAATTACCCCAGTGCCTAACACATTATCGGTAGCTATTATTAGGGTAGTTTAAAATCTATCTTACATGTGTTGATAGATTCCTTTCCAGAATCTGTATCTAATCAGAGTAGGACCTAGGGAGATTAAGAAACCTGTCCATAGTTTATAAAACTGAGGAAATTAAGCCCCCTTGAAGTCTAGATTTAGGGTCTAGGGTTCCATAATTTCAATCCTGCATCTGGTCTCATTGCCGCTTTTATAGTCAAGGAGGCAAAGTATTTAAAATAAGGCCTTAATTTTAAATAAATAAGATCCAGCCCTGGCCAAGTACTCAGCTGGGCGGAGCACTATCTGTACACCAAAAATGTGGTGGGTTCCATCTCTGGTCAGGGCACATGCCTGGGTTGTGGGCTTGATCCTTGGTCAAGGCGTGTATGGGAGGCAACCAATCGATGTTTCTCCCTCACATCAATGTTTCTCTCTCTCCCACCGGTGCTTTCTAAAATCAATAAGCATGTCCTTGGGTGAGGACTAAAAGTAAATAAATAAATAAAGATCCAGGTTGCCCTTTTATATTTACCCTCCTGTGTCACGTGATAAACCTGTCCAAGATTTTCTTTACTATCTTCTCAAGCCAAGGACTAGAAGTCCAGGGCCAAAGTTTGCTAAACATGGGTGTAATGGGTAAAGCCAGTTCCCAAAACAAAACAAACAAACGAAAAAGCCTGTTTAATAATCTTGAAACTTATAAAAATAATTCAAAATGTAAAATTTTAAAAGGACTAAAAGTAAGCACAAAAGACAAATAAAAAGAGAAAATAATAAAAATAAAGTATGATTTTAACAGGAAAAAGCTGTTTGAATTGAATTTTTAATGGAAGATAAAATAAGAATAGAAGACACTAAAAAGGCAAGGAAAATATAAGGCAAGAACTCAAAAAGAAATAAAACAGTGAAATAACAAAATGCTAAAATAGGGCAGCACTATGAAGTTATGAAGTTCAGTTCTAAAAACCAGGTAAAAATATTGAGTTGGCCAAAAAGTTCATTTGGTTTTTTTTCCCATAAGATGGCTCTAGTGGCACTTAGTTGTCTTTAACTTCATTTGAAGCAATTTTGTTTGATTGTATTGTGACATCTGTCATATCAGCGTGCATTTAAAAAAATTACCAAAATTGGTGAATTTTTGTGTAGCCATTTTAAAATTGAAGATGGGAGAAAACATGCAACATTTTTGCATATTATGCTTCGTTATTTCAAGACAGGTAAAAACACAACTGAAACACAAAAAAAGATCTGTGCAGTGTATGGAGAAGGTTCTGTGACTGATTGAACGTGTCAAAAGTGGTTTGCGAAGTTTCGTGCTAGAGATTTCTCGCTGGACGATGCTCCATAGCCGGGCAGTCCAGCTGAAGCTTTTTCAGCAATCAAATTGAGACATTAATTTATACCATGTGGGAGGTAGCCAACATACTCAAAATATCCAAATCAATAGTTATTGGTGAAAATGAACAATGTGTCTTTTATTTTATGGAAAAAAACTAAATGGACTTTTTGGCTAACCCAGTATATCCTTCAAAAAAGTAAAGACTAAATTAATCTGGAAGTAGGTGAGTAGCATGAACTTTAAGCAGGTACTCTACACTGGGACAGTTCCCCAGTTCAAGGTCCTGTGGAGGCTCTGAGGGCCGGCTTGGTTCCAGTTGATCCAGACAGGCTCCTGAGCATCAGTGCACCCGAACCACTCACTAGGCCCTTCACCTACAGGTTGTGTCAGTGGTCCCTCCCAGTAGCTCCTGACATCCTCACCCTTCAAGAGGAGAAGGCTAAGGTTTGGTAAGTGTCCTGTTGCACTAGCAGCTGGTGGAGCTGGGGCCTGAAGCTCGGTCTGATGAAGGAACCTATGCATGTTATTTACCTTTTTCTGCCTTCTAGGAAAATCATCACCGTCAACAGAAAAGACAATAACAAAATCCCATTCCCCTTAATTCCTCCCCTCACCTTGTCCAGGTTATCTATCAAATTAAGAGAGATTGCCACTCTTAGCAAACAGTCCGGCTCTAGTCAGTGTGCAGTGGGTACTCTGTGTGTCTTGATAACTGGAGTATTACTTTTTAAAATATATTTTCCCCTTTTTTTGTTTTTTGGCACAAAGTTGATTCCAGACATTCAAATATTAACCTCAGTTTAGCTTCCTAAACATCTCCTGAATGTGGGCACTCTTCTTCATCTTCATCGCTACTACCAAGTTCATGTCGCCACCTTGCCATTCCTCATCTTTGTTTCCTGTGGCTGTTGTAACGAATTACCTCAGTGGTGGTAATCTGGGTGTCCCAAAACAGCAGAGATTTATTCTCTCCCAGCGCTGGAGGCCAGAGGAAGTCCAAAATCAGTGTCACTGGGCCGCAGTCCAGGTGTGTCAGCAGGGCCCCACTTTCTCCAGAGGCTCTAGGGGAGAATATGGCCTTTCTTGACTTGTGACTTTATCACTCCCATCTTTGTCCCTGTGGTCACGCCACCTCCTCCTCTCTGGGCCTCAAATCTCTGCCTTTCTCTTATAAATGCATGTGTTTGCCTTTAGGGCCTGCCGAGGTAACCCAGGGTAATTCCTCCGCTCAAGATTCTCAACTTAATTACATTGACAAAGATCCCTTTTTACCAGGGAAGGTGACATTCACAGGTTCATGGGTTAGGATGTGGCCATTGTGGGAGGGGAGGGGTTCAGTCTACATACCCTTCGGTTTTGCAACTGTCTCTGCCTCTTGTCACCTACCCTGCACATGGCCTTGAACACACAGCTCAAATCATGTCACTGCCTGCTTCCAAACTCTTCAGCGGCTCCTATGGCCCTGGGCACATCCTGATTCCCTGTTTGGCAGTGATTACCTTTCTACCATCTCCCCCACAGCTTCTCCCTCACATGTATGTTCCACCCTGCTCAACACCCCCCAGTTCTGTAGGAGCAGGGTTCATGCTCTCCTCAGGGCCATCAAAAGTGTTCCTCCACCTGCCACTTGCTCCGTTTTGTTTGGCTCACTCTGGTTCACATTCAGTTCTTGGTTAGACTCTGAACTTCGCTTATTCCGAGAAGACTTGCTCTCCCCTCACTGGGTGAGGTGCACCTTTCTGTGCACTCTGTCACAGAGCTCTTAGGGCGATAGGGACAGTCTCCCTATCATGCATTCACCTGGTTCATGGGATGTCCCCTGCATGTGGCACAGTGCTGGGCATAGGGCAGGTGCTTAATAAATGTGTACTGATGAGAATGCCATAGGAAGGGAGCCTTTACATGCACCCTACCCAGCATAATACTGCAAACCAAGAACACCAATCCACAGAAAAGTTGTTACTGGGGAGGATTACATATGTGAATGCCAAAAATTTCCACAGAGCTTTATTTTTAAGTGGAAATCAAGAATTCTATAATTATGAGATTATTATGAGATCAAAGGAAATATTTTCAGGTGTATTATTCTGTTTTCTTTCAGGCCATTCCTGTGTTCCTCACTTTGCATAATGCAGCTGAAGTTATTATCTGTGGGCACCAGAAGTGTTTTCGGAAAGAGGTAAATAATACCGTAGGATGCTAGTTTCACTTCCCTTGCTTTAAATTTCAAAAACACACCTTTTTTTTTCATGGCTCAAATTAGTGTCTACCTTTTCCTGACATCTGTTTCCAGTCAGGACTGCCTGGCAGTGGTGGTTAATTTCAAGGACCACGGTTTTCACATTGACTGAGGGCCTGGTGGTTCCCACCCCAAGCTCGTCCCAGCGCCACATGGACACCAACGTCAGAGCTTCACAGCGCATGCTGGGGGCATCAGCCCATCCTGGGGACAGATGTTGCCTTTTCTTTCCAGCCCCAGGTCAGCCTCAGACTGGCTGGAGCAAATTTCTTCGCCTCTATGCCTCCATCTGTGACAAGGGGTAGTAACTTCACCCAATGCACAGTTGTTGGGAGGACATACCATGGCACACATGTTAAGTGCTTCCAACAGTTTCCTCCACATAGTAGGTGCTCTGTACATGTTAACTGTATTTATTAACAGTATTAGGGGTGGTTTTAATATGCTTCCTCTTTCAGGAGTTCCTTTTTTCTAACATCTACCCGTTTGGAATGATTTCATATCAAAATCTTGGAACTTTTAAACTGGAGAGGCTGGTCAGCCACTGGGCAGCACGCTTCTTACAGGGCTACAGGAGAGGGAGGAGTCCTTCCCCTGGCTGAGGCCTCCCTGCACACCTGTGCGTCCTCTGTCATCCCTGCTGGCTACTTGGAGGCAGCTCTGTGGGTTACTCACCTCCCTCTCTCGTGGATGCTTAACCTCTCCCTGTCTGCTGGCTTGTTTTCCTTGGCCTATAAACATGCTCAGTGTTCTCAGTACTCCATGGGTGGAGCAGGCCCTGGGATACCCACTCACATCAACCAGCCCTGAGACACTGTGCTACAGAACCTGAATCCCACAGGACAGCCAGCACGCTGCTTTGCCCACACACCCTCCACCTCCACCTCCTGCCATCCCTGCCCTTCCCTACCACAGCGCTAACAGAGGGTCAGCCTCCATGCCAACCACATCGTCACGTCCTTCTCCCCAGCAGCCACTCCTGCTTCTGCCGCCCCCATTAACCTGAAATCGCTCTGGCTGCAGTCACTGATGGCTTCATTTATGCGACTCTGTTGGTCTTTTGCACCATTCATCAGCCTACAGCCTTCTCTCGACAATTGACCCGCATGTCCCTGTCTCCGCTGGTCTCTCCCTGAGTCTCTGGGTCTTTGCTCATGGCCACCTGTCCTTCTTTTTCTTTTGTCTGCCCTTCAGAGTCTCCTAGCGTCCTGTCTATGGAGCCTTTGGTTCCCACACCACGCTGACTGGACAGTCCCGTCCACATCATGACACCAGCGACCTTCAGCTCACTGGTGACTCCTAGGTCCCCTCTCCAGCCCAGACCTGTCCCTTCAGCCCAGACCCCGTGGCCTCCTGGCGTCCGGTTCTTCGCCTGGCTATTTCCTGGGCGTCTGAAATGCAAGGGGATCAAAATGGAACTGATGGATGTGTTTCTCCAGGCTGGCTTCTCGCTTGCTAATCCCAACCCTGATCATCATCTCCCAAGCCAGAAACAGCCAGTGAAGGCTGGGGACCTGGAGGGGCCGGTGCAGTGTCACTGCAGGGCCGGCAGGGGGCTGTGGCAGAACAGTGTCAGAAAAAGTCACACTCCGGAGCCTGGTCACCTGGACCCAAGCCCTTTGACCTTGGGCCACTGACCCGGTTTCCCAGTGGCTTGGTGGTGTCATGTAGCATATAACCAAGAGTGCTAGTTACCGCGTGACTACCGCAGGCGGTGCCCAAAGAGCACTTAGAACAGCACGGGCACAGAGCGAGTGGCCCTCAGACTAAGTGAGCTGCTGACCAGAGGAATGTCACATGTTTATCGTGATTTGGGGCAATGTGACTTGAGGCATATGCTGACCCAATCAGAACCCCGAGATAGCACCAGGACTGATTCCTGGGTGATTTTTGGACTGAGGGGCCTGAAAAGGTGAATACCCTGTCATGAACTCCCCAGGTGTTTCTGGAGCCCTGGGGTTATGCAGCTCAGTCATGAATTTATATCATATCTCAGGTCTTGGGCTCCTTTAGTCTGGGGGGGTTTAAAATAAAAAAGGACCCTCTCCTCTTTGGAAGGGGCGACCTCTTCCAGCTACTGGACTTGTGTGCTACCCTGTGACAGAAGCCCCCAAACGTTTGCTGGGGGAACATGTTACCAAGAGTCGGGGGTGTGCCTGTTGTCTCAAGTCCTCTGTTGCACAGTCCGTTGAGATGTGGTTCTGTGTAGCTCAGACTCTTTTAGTGATACATTTTCCCCATAATGGGGGCAGTTATCCATGGGTCGTCCTTTCTGTACCCAAGAGATAGGTGTCCCCACCAGGGGGCAGTGGAGTCAAGGTTGGCATGTCCTCTGTACTCCACTGGGGCAGGGTCCTTACCGGTAAGAGATGGAAGGATCTAGAGATGCAAGCCACCGCTTGTACACAAAGAGACTCTGCTTACTAGAACAGCGCACGCTGGATTAATTACTAATGGAGACTTAAGATCTCCTTCATGGCAAACCACAGGTTTCTCTTGTTAGTTCTTCCCTTTTAAATAATATGGTCATACTTCACACTTCATCTAAAGTGGAGTCAAAAAACAGTAGTCTGTCCTCAACCAGCAAAGTAACTCTTCTGAAATGTTCAGAATTAATTTGTTATCCTACTGGACCATTTCCCCTGTCAAATATAGAACAATCTATGCTTCTCTCTGCTAGGACTTTCTTCCTGAGTGCAATGACTAATTCCTTCAACATGACTCACAGAAAGGAGGTGATCAGGTAGAGTCTGCAAAAGAATTCCTTCGTTCCAGGGAGCTTTCAGTGCCAAGTCGAGATTTCCCCAATCTGCTCTTTTCTCCCCTTCTCTGTATGGGTGGAGTCAAATGTCCCTTCTTTTTTCCTGTTTCTTAATTCATACATCATACCAGAGAATTTATAGCACCGCTGAGAGTCAGAGCTGGATTAACGAAGGGAAAATTTAAAGAGACAGAGTGGAATAGAAGTTGAACACGAGCTTAATTTCTGATCTTGCACAGGCCACACTCGATTTCTCCCTGTGCCCTCCGTGGCATGTAAAATATGGGAAGGCTCGGCCCAGCGTCATTTCGGTTTTTCACGAGTAAACACAATTCAAACGGGGAGACGGTAAAACTGCACATCCAGGGCGCTTGGCCGAGGTGACTCAGCTCCGGACCTCTGAGTCATTCTTCGCTGAGTCCAAGAAGAAAAAGCTTCGACAAACACTGAAGTACAACAAGCTGTTAAGTCCCCAATAAACTTGATCTAGCTATTTTCTTTTAAGAAATAAAACGTTTTTAAAGACTAATTATATCTCTTTATTTTCACGCAGAAAATGTCTCCTGCAAGGATCTGTAGGTAAGTTAAAAAAAAAACAAACCTACAAACCTCTAAATACAAGATTCAACCAGATTTTTAACTTCAATGATAAACTATTGAAGGTTTGTGCTTGAGAGTTGACAGAGAAATTTATTATAAATACTCATATTTCCCAATTCTGTGTCTAATTCTAAAATTGATTCTCTTTTTGTGAAATGTGGTATTCCTAAGGCAAACACAGCCTGTGCTAGATTTCAGTCATCGATGCCCAAAATGTTACTAAGAGTTGTGCAATTCTGATGGAGAATGAAAATGGAAAACATGGTAATGACTTAAACATTTAAAAGTAATGTTTGCAGTTTGTTGGGTTTTTGAGAATTCCATGGTGCAAAACCACCAGCCTGTGAGTCCAGGGATCTGAGGGGTCCTGGGCCACAGCAAAGAGACAGTGGGAAGGCATCATCACCCTTCGTGCCTCAGTTTCCTTGGCGGGAATCTCAGGCAGTCCCTGTGCCCAGGTGTGCTGAGCCCCTCCTGAGCACCTTGCTCTCTGACTGCTTCTTGCCACCTCTGCAGGAGCTAGGAAGCTCAGTCCTAGACCGAAAACCAACAGAGATGCTTTGGTACATGAATTTAGGACTTTTTGTTTCAAATATTTCTGGGCTTTCATCCAGTCTCTCTTTCTCCTCTCTTTTTTACTTTATTACAGACTGCTACTTGAAAAAAAAAGAAACATCAGAATTTATCTACTTGTTTAAAAGATTAGCAGGTATTCAAGAGAGGTAGACCCTGTCCAGGTAGCTTAGTTGGTCAAAGTGTTGTCCCAATATGCCAAGGTTGTGGGTTCCATCCGCAGTCAGGGCACATACAAGAATCAACCAATGAATGGATAAATGGGTGGAACAACAAATTAATGTTTCTCTCTCTCCTCCCTTCCCCTTTCCTTTCTGTGTTTAGGGAATCAGTAAATTAAAAAGTTAAAAAAAGAGAGAGAGTCATTAAAGCCCAGTAATACCTGGTAGAATCAGGTATTGCTCAAGGCCAGTTTGGTGGGAAACCAGGGGCTGTCTCACACCAGGCTGTCCTCATCTCCCCTCAGCCCCAGAGGATAGTCTGTTTGAGGGGATCTCTAATGCTCATTGCCTGCAGATGGGGAAGTGTCCTGATCCTGTGCAGTCCCAGAGACCCTTCCTGACAAGGTCCCTCCACTCATCCCACCCTTTGCCTCTGTTGTATATTACATATATGTGTACATATAAGATATGGAATTCTATTTCTATGTAGGATGTATATTGGTATGAGATACCATACGACCTCTAAATAGATGGTAGATACCAACCACAAAGGCCTCTAAAAGTAAAATTGCTGTATTCTCTGCTTCTGTTCATGCCTTTGATCCTTTGCTGTTTGCTGGCTAACGGAACAGTTAGTAGTGAAGAGGCCCAACATTACATGTTTTGTTGCATTGTAAAAAAGAAAGAGGGTGAGAGAGTGTGTGATAATTAGGGTTTTGTGGTTTCTGGTGCTGCCCCATGAGGACAGGAAAGCTAGAGGGCAAGATGTTTTGCTATATGAAACCTAGAAGAGCCAATGATTATTCCAAAAGATAGCTCTAAATTGACTTTGCAGTGAGTGAGGGTAGCTTTCTGAAAGTATCTGTTGTTGGCAATGTTACTTTTTTGGGCAAGAATTATAAAAATTTTATTATGGAAGTTTCTAAACATATATACAAGTAGACAGACTAGTATAAGGACGACCTGTATGCCCATCACCAGCTTCAACAGTTTCGACTGACGCCTTCACCCAGCGCCTCCTCGCCGCAGCGAACCACAGGCACCAGAGCGTTCCATCCGTGAGCATCCGGTGTGGATGAGAGATTTTCCTAGTGAGGCCTTTTATTTGGGAAAAAAGTTTAAACCTACAGAAAAGTTGCAAGAATATTACAAGGAACTCTCATACACCTTTTACTTAGATTCACCCAGCAAAAATATTTTTTGCATTTGCTTTTCTGTCTTCATATATAGATATACACATATATCACATAAAATAAATAAGAAAATATATATAATTAGGGTTAATTTTTTTCTGAACCATTTGAGGATAAGTTGCAGAGGTTGTGATCCATCCCCTAAATACTTCAAAGTGTATCTCCTAAAAATTACAATCTCTTGTATAAACAGTACAATTACTAAATTTAGAAAACAATTATCTTGTACAATACTATTATCTAATATTGAGTCTGTGTTCAAAATCGGCCACTTCTCCCGATGTTCTTTTATAGCGATCTCTTCCCCCAAAGACGTTGTGTCTCTTGTATTCTGGAACAGTTCCTCTGCCTTTTGTCATCTTTCACTGCCTTTGTGTGTTTGAAGAGGGTCAGCTCACTGTTCTGCAGATCTTCCCTAAACTTGAGTTTGTCTTAGTTTGACTTATGATTAAGCTCAGGTTCGCCATACTTGGCAGGATGCCCCGTGAGCGATGTTGTGCTCATCTCAGTACACCTGGTCAGGGGGCACATGATGGAGACCTGCCTTATTATTGGAGACATGCAGTTGAGCATTTGGTTAAGGTGATATGCAAAAGATTTTAATGTGCTTTTCATGGCGTTTTCCTTTTTGTAAGTGGCATAATTGTAGTCTGAAATCCCAATTTTCCACTAGTATATTTTTGGGGATCTGTAGTTTTTAAAAATACAAAATATTTTATTAATAATTTTATATTCCTTACAGAGTGCTGGTTGGGGGAAGGCAAAGGGGGGAAAATTAGGACAACTGTAAAATCACAATCAATAAAATATTTTTAAAAAGGAAAAGGGAGGCGGTCTTCTAAGACACCGCAGTTCAGTAGAAATAGAATGGGGTCTGTCATTTTTAAAAACTTCCTTTCATTATGTGTTTCACAGGCACTCTTTTTCTTGGGTGAGCCAGCTTTGGTTTCGCAAATGTCCCGCACATGCCCGTCTCTGGGCGAGTGGCTGGTTCTCATGGAGCTCACGATGGAAGCTGCATAAGCAGGAGGGCTCTCAGAGGGTGAAGGAGGGGCAGGCTGGGCTTGGTCTGGCTGATCATTGCCTCAGTTAATCTCCAGTCTATGTATCTCAGCCTCCACACTCTGGGAAATTCTTTGAGGTTGAAAACTGAAGTTGCTTTCTAATTTCCCTCTCCACAGTGCCCTCTTCCTCCTGGCCGCTGCCGGATGCCTTCCCTTTAATGACGCCCAGGTAAGGTCAGGTGAACACATGTTATCTTGCAAGTATCTCTTACTCTCCAAAACTTGCATGTGTGAGCGGAATTTCCTAGTCCTTCCTTTTAGAATCAGAATAGTCCTGGCCTATGCAAAGGCATTTAACACTTTCAGGTGGGGCACCTTTTCGCCAAGCCAATGCTTCCCCTCAGGTCCTGCTCCCCAGGGCTGCAGCAGTGTGGCCTGCAGAGCTCTGGCCTCTGGGGGCTGTGCTGGGGGCAGTGTCCCCTCTGTACGTTCTTGGGGAACCTGCAAGCCCGTGCCCAAGTTGCCCCAGCCTCACGCATTTAGAAACATTGATTTTTTTTGTTCTGAGCCCAAGGGCGTCATCTGCACAGTGATTTTCACTTTGTCATCCTGTTTTCCTTTATTAGGCACTGAGGACCCACCCTCATTCCCAGTAGTCATTTCATTGCTGGGTCTTTTTCTTTTCTCCCCCACCCCCCACCATTTATTAAGTCTCCATTAAGCATCAGGCACTGAGCCAGGCTCTGGGGACACAAAGAAGCATTGTCCTCGTCCAGACAGAAGTCAGAGTTTAGTCAGAGCAAGGGGGAGGAGGACCCCAGGGCTCTGTCCCGGGAGGTATGGGGTACTGTGAGGCACCTACAATGATGTGGGGACTCAGGAAATGGGAAAGCTAACAGTTCCAGAGAGCCTACTGTGTGCCAGGCTCTGTGCCGGTGCTTTATGTGTCTTGTTTAAAACCTCACAGCAATTCCACAAGGGATTATTATTATCTCCATTTCATAGCTAAAGAATAAGGCAGCCCAAAAGGTCACCAGCCAACAAATAAGTGGGATTTTAGAATTTAACCCAGATCTTCCTGTTGCTAGAGTCAGGCTCTGTTTACTAGACCTAAATCTTGAAGGGTGAGGAAGAATTAGCCAGGAGAAGACAGCCGGTGTGGGCAGAGTCCTAAGCAGGCTGGGAGTGAGCTTTACTGAGCACCTACAACGTCTGTGTGTGCTCCTCTGCCATTTCCTGGCTTCCCGGAATTTACAATCAAGTAGGGGACACAGTGCAGACAGGGACGGGCAATAAGTAAAACAGAGTGTGTGGATGAGACAAACTCCTGTGGAGACAAGGAAGGGAAGATGACCAGGGGCTGAGCTGTGGTGAAGGGGGCATTCGTACTTGGGGAAGTGAAAGTTTTTTTCCTCAGGAGAGGGGGATACTGGAGGGGTTGACAAGGGCTTGTCATAGACATCCTTGGGTGTCATAAGTGGATTTTATCCTGAAGTCACTGGAGGACAGTTGAATGATTTTCAGCAATAGGTGACATCATCAGATCAGCCTTTTAGAGACCCCAGGTTGGGGCTGCATGGGGAATTGGGAAAGGGGTGCAGGAAGCAGGAGCTTGTTAAGAAGATGCCATAACATCGGGATGAGAAATGAGGTGGGACTAACTCAAGGCCCCAAAGGTCCCATCCTGGCAGTCTTGCTTGGCACTGTGCACCGACATTTAGGGCTTCTTATTGCCACACTGGTGTCTGTGTGTTGGTATCTATAGCCACTTTTTTAAAAAAAATTCTGTGTTACAGTTTGATCCAGATGGATATTTCTGGGCTGTAATTCACTTATTCTGCATGGGTAAGTTTTGAAAGAATGCTTGCTTAAATAATTCAGTCTTATTGTTTAGACCTTATTGTATATCTACTTTTTAGTGATGTTAGACAATTGGAAGTTAAATACCGGGTGTTGAGGTTAAAATTAAATGGAAATTCTCCATTTTGATTTTCCTGTTTTGGAGTTTTCCTCAAACATTCCATTTCCAATATAGTCACCCCTTTTTTGTGACAAACATTAGTGCACTCACCATAGCTCCGGTTCCCCTTGTTCAAGTCCACTTGTGGGATGCTGGTTGGTCTTCTCTAAACATGGTGGGAAGAGATCCAGAAGTTTGTGCCAAAGATACTCTCATCGGTGCACAAAAACATAAAAGAATGTGGCTGGGTGAAATAAAAGGACCATCTGACTGTATTTCAAGTCACATATTTAGTGTTTCTTGTCTGATGTTCTGGGGGGAAGCAGTGCCCTGACCTTGCTGTGCACTGTTCAGAAACCCAGTGGGGTTTCTTTCTCCTGCACTCCATGCAGAGGCAACCAGAGCCTCCTGTTAATTGCATCCTTCTGTTGATCATGAGCCCTTCCACCCAGCACTTTCTGTGCTGAATGGCATTATCACCAGGACCACCCAGTCTGCATCCTTGAAACCCTCCAAAGTGTTGCTTGCTCCCTGTTGGCTGTGGAGGACCCTCCTAGGGAAGAGGGGCTTTTCTTCACGTGCATTTTGTGCTTGCCTGGAATTGCAGACAGCCTCTTACGCAGAATGCCCTGTGCCAGTGATACATGTTGCTCCATTTTCAGGGGCTTATAAGATACTACAGAAGTCTCAGAAACCCAATGCATTAAGGTAAGCTTTGAGAGTTGGGTCAGTTGTTACCTGGTTAAGGAAAGGGGTGAGACCCACGGTGCCTGGAGCTGCAGCTTCTGTTCAGCCAGACACCCTGCAAGTCCGGGTTGCAGTGGGGGCAGTAGGCTCGACTTCCGAAGCCCTTTCCCTTGTTTATGAGCCATTCAGGCCAGGTCCACTGGGACCTGGACTGTGCCGCCATCAGTGACAAGCAAAGAGCAGGGAAGTCTGCCCTCCGCCTTCAGAGGCATCATCTAGGTGAGGATTTTACAAAAATCACGTGACCAGCGGCCCTGGGCCCCAGTTTACTTCCTCCGATCAGCCCCTTTCTAACTTGACTTGCTTTAGACACACAAGTGTACCCAGCCAGTAGCTCTGTGCTGGGGTAACATGAGCCCTCTGTTGCCTGCGGTCACTGGACCGGCCTTGGCAAATGTAAATGAACAAGAGAACTCAGGCCTGGGTTGGGCTGGATTGGTGAGGCCAGAGCCCCTGCTCTGGCCACCTGCCTTCTGGGTCCCAGACCCTCCTGAAGGCCGAGAGAGAAGGCCCGGAGGGGGTGGCTCCTGGGAGCAGTTATGTGCTTTGAGGGTGTGTGGCTGTGGGTCCCCAGAGCACTTTTTGTTTTGTTTTTTTAATAAAGAGATTTTGCAGCAAAAAGCCAGTATAGTTACCAGATAAAACACAGGATACCCAGTTGAATTTGAATTTCAGATAAGTACTGGTAATGAATAATTTTTAGTACCTACTATATAATATCTGGCGCATACTTATACTGAAGCATTATTCTTTATTTGAAATTCTTATTTATTTGGCTGTCCTGTGTTTTATTTGTCAAATATAGCAGCCCTAGAAGTTAGCCTGGTGGTTCCAGATAGCTGGCCCTCCTTCAAAATGGCAAATGAACACATAAGAAACAACCAGCCACCAATGCAAATGTGTGTGACGGCACTAAACTAGCAAGTGTTTTTTTAACATGAGCCAGGAACTAGTTTTGAGTATGAAGTGCTCTTCATGCTATTTATTGATAACTTATAAATGTGGTAACTTATACATAGATATAGTTTAGTGACAAGATAATGATTACTTTGTGTATGTAAAACACTTCTATTATTTTATATGTTATCCTTTTCTTCTTATTCCTTAGTGACATTGACCAGCAGTACTTAAACTATATATTCAGGTAAGGTGTAATTTGCATTTTCAAAGAGTAACTCATTTATTTCTAGAGCTAATGGTTTTTACTTTCCAGTAATATTTTGATTTGGGGGCTCTGAAGTGATGTGCCTGCCAGGGAGGCAAGCTAAGTAATTTGTGAGGTGACCAGACGCCGAGGACATGCAATAGCAGGATGCCCTCTGACCAGAAAGAGGGGCCTCTGTCCGGCCCCACACCTCAGAAGCCTGCGTCTCTCCCCCTGGGGTATGGAGTCTGTAAGGCTAAGGGGACATTTGTTTTACAGAACCTCCATTCTAGTCTGGACCCTGGAATTCCCTGTTCAAGTGATACAGAGCTCAGTTCTAAGGCCTCCCTGGGTCTGTCTTCCCAACTCACTCCTAGGCCCAGCGCTGTCCAAGGAAAGGCTGTTTGTGGGGGGCATGTGGGTGGAGGGTGCACTTGCAGGTGTGGTGTCCACGTGCAGTGTGTGAGGCCCTCGGGTGCAGGATGCCACCTGAGGTGGGAGGGGGTGCACTGGGAGCCAGGAGCCAGAGCCCGGATCCCCCTATGGTGCCACATTCTGACAGGAAGCTTCAAGGACACCAGGAATTCTACATTTTAGTCTGGCCCTATAGGTTCTTTCGAGGGCATACTTGTTCAGGTAGGATGAAGTTTGAAGCTTGATTTATAGCATTGAAATATGGTATATGGATTTCCATTTGTACCCTTGCCCCAAGCCAAGCAGAGTAGGGGTTGGCCCGCTAACTGTAATAGCAGGGCAGTGGTACTGGGCCTCAGCAGTGTCTGACTGTGCTATGGGGCCTCGCTGAGCAGCAAGCAGGTGAGCATGGCTGCTGGGAGCCCACGATTGCCTGATGCAGTGACCTTCGGTAGGGAACACAAGGTCAGAGAGGGGCCTTTCAGCACTTCTAGAGGAAGTTGCTCAGCTTAAAACACTTAGCATTAGCTGTATTCTCCATTTGCAGATAAAGCTCATAAATATTGTAGTATTTAGTAAAACACTTTTTTGAAAACAGGATTCACCCCAAGCATGGCTGTGGGAGGCTTTTGTACTCAGTGGGAAACAATCATCGGTTCCACTCTGCCCAGACCCACCGGCTGCCTTTTTAAGAGACCCCTTTAGGCAGTTATTTTTCTCCACAGTACTCACAGCCCACCTGAGCAGGAGAGGGGCAAGGGGATGGAAAAGTGAGCCTGTGTGACCCTCTGCTAGTTCTCCTGTCCTCCCTCCCTCCCAGCTCCTTCACCCCAGTTGAGCCTGGTGCTCGAGGCTTCCTGGCTGAGCCCATGGCTGAGCCTGTGGCTAAAGCCACGATTCTATAGCCAAGTCTTCTTTCAGCACAAGTGAGGAAGGTGTGTGAATTAGAAAGAAGGACACCATTCAGTTTACCATGGCACTGGACACTGAGGGCATCCTGCCCAGCCTGTGGCGGCTGAGATCTGTGCGGTGGCTGTGCTGGTAGGAGCCAGCCCACAGCTCTGCCTACCAGGGCCAAAAGCTGGTTTGATCTCTTCATTTCTTCTGAGAAAGCCAAATAGTTGGATGGTTCTCTACTTTGGCACATACTCGTGTTTTTTTGAGGATGTACTTGCTCCCTGTTCTGACTCTTTGCTGTTTCTCTTATAGGTAGAGGTCTAGGGCCCATGGTAGGGGGGAAAGGATGAAGGAAGGAATGAAGAAGGAAATTGTATATGGAGCTGAAAATAAATGGAATGTTCTAAAAATGCTATGGCTTTGATCAACATTTTGAGGAATTTAGGTAATTTATGAGAAATAAATATTATGGGATGCATACCTAGCACTTTTTCTTTTTAATATGAGCAGACACTAATTTCTCCTCATCTACTAAACAGAAAATTACCGTAATGTTCTCTATTCATACCCACCTCCTTATTTTGCTGATGAAATATGTGTGCGTGTGTGCCAAAGGGAAGTAGACAGGTATTCTCTCTGGGGTAGGATTTGTAAAACAGAACAATGTATTGGAGTTTAGCCTATGGAGACTATATTTTTATATTTTATTTCCCATGAGTGTAGGAATATCTTCTATTTTGTTCACTGCTGTATCTTCAAATTAGAGCAGTGTCTGGCACTGGCACTTACTAGGCACTCAATCAATATTTGTTGAATGAATGAATTAAAAGGTATGCTGTTTGTCAGACAGGATATGCCTCTTGTGTCAGAATTGGAGAAAGTTTCATTCCTAACCTCTAACTGGGTCCAAGGCCTGGATGGCATGGCACTGTGGTGGCAGGGAGTCTGCACGGTGGGCTCAGGCTCCACGAAGGTGCTGCACACAGGCACTGGCGGGTGGGAGGAACTTTCAGAGAGGGAGATGGGAGGGTGCCAAGGACAAACAGGGCCCACATCCGAGGAAAACTTCTCCTCTTTTCCATCCTTTTTGGCATCAATTGCCAATCAGCCCAGGTGGTTTTCAGGCACATGGTGGGTGGGATGGATCATTTCGTGTGCTACCTCCTTGGACATTTAACTTACCTTCTATGCAGTTAATTTTGTGGCAAAAAGAGACTCAGCTCATGTTCAACAGCTAGTTTTTAGAGTGCAGCCTGCTTGTAATTTAGAATTTGCTATGTTTCGCTTGCAAATACCATTTGTAGATTAGGTGAGTACGATGATAATTAGTGGCACGGCCAACCCTCAGAGTGGGGTGTGGGTCCTCAGTCCATCACAGGGTAGATTCAACCCGCTGGCCCAAACCTAAATAAAGCATTTCAAGAGATTCTCATTCTCTCACTGAGGAGCTAGGTTTAGGAAGAATGAGACCAGGTAATTTGCTTGTAGGCCAATGTCATATTTCCAAGCAGAATGGTTGGAAATGCATGTTGTTTTCTCAGTGCAGGGAAGCTTTCCTCAATACTCTGCTCTTTCTCTTTCAGTGTGGTGCTTCTGGCATTCGCATCTCATCCCACAGGTAAACATTATTTTGTTTGTTTGTTTGTTTTACGTTGCCCATTCAGTGCAGTGCCCTGGCCTGGTTATATCTCAGGGGCATTTTGTAAGAGAACGTGGTCACCTTCGAGGATGTCAAACTCAGGGGTTAGAAATAGCCCACATACTTGAGACTGTTCTTAATAACCTACTAGGGAGATACTGCTCAGATTTATTTTCATCCTTTCTTGAGCTTTATTATATATGGTTTCATCTGGTGCAATCTCAGATGTGCAGACAAGTTTCATAACTGCCAAGTAAACTCAGGCTTATATGTCCTCTTCTGATTTCTTCTTTAAGAATCTAGAATGGCTTTTCAGTTGTAATGCCAAAAGATTTGGTGAAAAAGTTAAAATTTACCTTATTTCTAATTGACATCCTTTTACCATGTTATCATCTCATCTTTTTTATTTATTAATTTTGTTTTAGAGAGAGAGAAAGAAAGAAACAGTGATTTGTTGTTCCACTTATTTATGCATTTATTTGTTGCTTTCATATGTGCCCTGGTGGAGATTGAACCCCCAACCTTGGTGGATTGCGATGCTCTAACCAAATGAGCTACCCAGGGCCTGTTATCATCTCATCTTCATAATTCCAGATGAAAGTCAAGTATTAAAACTTTCCTTTACTTTGTTGCTGCATTAATTACTCCATACTTGTTTTTCAGATTCAGGATTTGCCCACAATAATTCTATTCCATTGTGATTTTTTTTCCTTGAAAGGTTTTGAAGTCAATGCCAAAGACAAAGCAATAATATCTGTGTGTGGTATAGCTAAAAATACATGTTTTATTGGCCACCCTGTTTAAACTAATGTTTATTGACCATTTGCTATTGCAAGGCCTTTCCCAGGCTCTCAGGGCCTCAGTTCCCTTATCTGTAAGATGAAAAAAGTGGATTTTTTATAGTTAAAGCTTCTTCTGGCTCTCATATTGTGCCCCCAAAACAATGACAGCATTCTGTTTGTGTTTTGAGCTGTTTCACCCTATTCGAACTGGTATCCGTAGGGAATTGCTGGTAGTGACTCAGATACTGTTTCTAGATTGTACAAAATAGAACTCGTGTTGTGTAAGGATGATTAGAATTACTTTTCTCTCAACGCATCATTCCACATGTGCCCACACTGAAACACATCTGCTATTTTCTGCCCACTTCCACAGCTGGGTGCTGTCTCACAACTGTGATGTTTGCTGTTGAGTGCCCTCTCCATGATTATTTGGTGAAAGCCTGTCACTTGTACTGTAAAAGAAGAAATCATACGAAACCATGGTGCTATCCCTAAACAGTTTCTGCTTGCCCACATCATTCCTTCATCTAGCCACCCGACAGATACTTAAGAGCCTACTAAGCATCCTCCCCATTGACATGCGTTTTAGTCAATGGCCTTTGGAAAGTTCTGTTTGCTGGTTCTCCTTGGTTGATATGTTCATTTATTCCCTGAGTGATTTCTAGTGGGTTTGCTGAATCATTTTCACCTAAAGAAATCACTCTGCCTTTCACCTAACAGGTTATGCCTGTTCATTGGTTACACTCATGATTTTTGGAGCTGGAGGGAACCTTGGTGATTGATTACTCAGGGCACCACCACATTCCACCGATGAGGCAGTGAAACGCAGAGGAGTTCAGTGAGGTGACTGAGATAATGCAGAGGAGGCGAGCAGCAGAGGGAGACTGGAGTTTAGGCCTGTCTCCTGACTCTTTGTCCAGGTTTTTCTTTTTAAACACTTCCTTTTTAGTGACCTTACACTTTATTAAAAAGTCTCTTGAGTGAGTGAATACTTCTGTCCGATGTCCCTAAATTTCTTTCTGGAGATTCTCTTGGTTAGGAGGGCATGGTGTTCACCAGTGCCCAAACATGAAGACTGCTGGGAATCATTTATACATTTTAGGCAACATTCCCACATTTTACTTTGAGTAATTGCTAAACTTTCAGGTCAAAGCTACAATACCCTGAGCACCTAGTTACCCCCTGAACACGAAGCAGTCAGCAGCCTGAAGTTATAGAGTGGCTTGGGCTGAAGAGTAATTTAAAATAGGCAATGGTTTCTTCTGGAGGTGAGGAAGATGTCCTGGAATTAGGTGGTGGTGACAGTTGTACAACCCTGTGAACACACTAACAACCACTGAATTGTAGGCTTTGAAAGGGTGAACTTTATAGTATATGGATTATATCTCAACAAAAAATTGTATAGGGGATAAAAAAAGGAAATCTCTTTTATTTGAGAATCTGTTTGGAGCTCATTTATGCCTGAAAAAGATATTAGCAGGGATTCATTTTTCTCCTAATTATATTTTAAGTTAAAAAAAGAATGGACATTAGACATCAGATGCTCATTTCTCGTGCCTTCTCCTGCAGGCTTTGATCACGTCACGTGGTGGATGGTTGATGGCAGGTCTCTGGTGGGCAGCTCAGGGAGTCATAAAATCTGTGGGATTCATCAGAGAGAGGTGTGGTGTGCCCTGGAAGGACTTCTGGCTGGGGCTTTGGTTTGTTGCAGTTTTTGGGTAGCTGGGGTGGTAGCTTTGAAGAGGCTGGAGATAGGAAGTGGCTTCTGAGAAGGATTTTGCTGGGCTGATGGGCCTGGCTGTGACTCTTCTGTCAGTGGCAGAGGTGACCTTGGCCTACCTTTCTGTTTGTTGCTAAGGCTCCCCCTTGAAGTCCAGTGAGCTTCAGTAACCACCATAGCAGGGCTCTGCATGGGCCTGGGGAAGGCAGGTGGGAGTTATGTACAAACCAGTGTCAGCCTTCCAGAAGAGTCCGGAGACTTCCACCCAGACCAGCACCAAGTTCAGTATCTAACCCATGAGGGCCCCGTACCTCAAATTAGGTGTGTTAAGTAACCCAAAGGCACTCTTTTTATAAAGGTGCTCTGTGTGTGGTTGCCGTGATCATGATTGTTGGTTCCTAGGACTTTTACAAATTGTGTGTCGAGGTGTCTTAAACACGAGTGTCTGCTTCTCCTGTCAGCCCCTGTCAAGGGAGCATCATCAGCTTGAAACCTTGGTAGAGGTGGGGCTGGTCCTTGAATGCTGCTTGGATGAGGACTGCTGAGTAACAAAATGATCCTGGCTAGAGGTGGGATCTACTTGTGAAATCCACATAAAAAGAGACTGTCCCTGCTTTAAAAAAAAAGAAATATAATTGACATTTAACATTGTATTTGTTTTGGATATACAACATAATGATTTGATGTATGTATATATTGTGAAATGATCGCAGTAAGTTTAGCTAATTAACATCCATCACCACACATAGCTACAGTATTTTTTCTTATGAGAACTTTTCCGGTCTCTCTCAGCAACTTTCAAATATATGATACAGTATCGTTAACTCATAGTCGCCATGCTGTACTTTACATACCCACAATCATTTATCTTATAACTGGAAGTTTGTACCTTTGACTACCTTTACCCGTTTTACCCACCTAGCACCCCCACCTCCAGCAATCACTAGTCTGCTCTCCGTACCTATGAGTTCAGGTTTTCGCTTTGTTTTTGTGTTAGATTCACATATAAGTGAGATACTATGGTATTTGTTTTTCTCTGTCTGACTCAATTTGCTTAACTCCCTCAAGGTCCACCCATATCGTCATGAATGGCAGGATTTCCATTTTTTATGCTAAATATTCTGTTGTGTATATACCCCATTTTCTTTATCCAATCACTCATTGATGGACATTTAGGTTGTTTCCATATCTTGGCTGTTGTGAAGGAGACTGTCCAGGTTTTGATCAGCTTTAACTTCTAGAACCCCCCTGGGCCACCACAGGCAGTTGTGGTCCTGCTCCCTGAGGTCTCACCGTACCCAGTCTGTGCAGCTGTAGGCAGGGGCCCAGCACTTCAAAAAGCATTCAGGCACAGCAAAGCACTTACGTTTGTGAGTGTGGATAACTAAGGCAGCTAGGGATTAAGGTAGGGGTTTGGTATGCACACTGATAGAAGTTCACAATATAGAATACCTCTGGGAGATCAGTTTTCTGAGCTTTATAAACTCAGGTTCATTGCCCTAAACTCTTTGATGGGTCCTGATATTGTTTTCTCCTAGTAGTATACCGTTGACTGTGAAGTTGAAGCAAATATAATGGTTGAAGAAAATTTTCTTTCTACAGAAGTGTTCAAGGGCTGCTGGGATTGGGCAATTCCAGTTCCTGCCAATTTGTCTACTTTCTAATTGGACCCGTGGGTAACTTACCCATTTTTATGACAGAACGACACTTTACTTCTTCCCACTTGCTTACTGTGCTCTCTGCCTAGACTGTCCACTGCCAGGCCTGAGTGTGGGTCGGGGAGAGCACCTTCCTCATCCCCCACACCTGCAGCAATTAAGACACAGAAAGAGTCAGGGACCACAGGGCCAGTCCCTTTTTGAAGGATCTATTAGTAATTTCTGACGTTTTAAAACAAGGCTTTATTGTTTTTTGTTTATTCTCACCTCTTCTTTTTTACTTGCATCTTACTTTGTAGCACCTTTAAAACATTTTAAAATTGAGATATAATTTACATATATGAAATGCACATATCTTAAATGTACAGCTTGACCAATTTTGACTAAAATATACAGGTGTGTCCAGAAAAAGTCCAACCATTGTTAATATAACAAGAATGGTTTGCACAACATCGATGTAACCTGGCAGCCAAGGAGAGTGGACTGGAATGCACATGTGTGAACAATGATGACTTTACTGTACTAGTCAGTGGGGGTGGTAGATGCCATTGAGTGAGCATGTGTACTGTGTGGCCATCACATTAAAAATGACTGAGCAAGTAGAGCGATGAATCTATATCAGATTTTGTGTTAAGCTTGAACATTCCTCTGTAGAAACTATTCAGATGATTCAGAAGGCCACTGGTGATTGGCAGCTTCATCACAACAACACACTCACTCATACATCGTGTCTTGTGCAGAGATTTTTGGCAAAACATCAAACCACCCAGGTGATTCAGCCCCACTACAGCCCAGATTTGGTGCCCTGTGACTTTTGGCTTTTCCCAAAACTAAAATCACCTTTGAAAGGGAAGAGATTTCAGACCATCAGTGAGATTCAGGAAAATAGGACAGGGCAGCTGAATGTTATTGGGAGAACTGTGTGAGGTCCCAAGGTGCCTACTTTAAGCAGATTGAGGCATCATTGTCCTTTGTACAATGTTTCTTGTATCTTGTATCTCCTTCAATAAATGTCTTTTTCATAGTATGTGGCTGGATACTTTCTGGACAGGCCTCATACCTGTGTAACTCACTCCCCATCAAGACATAGAACGTTTTTGTCCCTACAAAGATTGCCTCATACTGCTTGTTAGTCATTCTCTGCTCACCCAACACCAAAAGCCGCTACTGATCTGATTTCTGTTACTATAGAAAAGTTCTGTCTATTCCAGAGCATCATAGAAATGAAGTGACATAGGAAGTATTTAATCATATGCGGCTCTTTCATTCAGTATAGTGTTCAGAGATTCATCCAGGTTGTTGTGTGCGTCACTTATTTATTCCCTTTGATTGCTGAGTAGTGTGCCATTGTATGAACATACAGTCTTCAGAGTACTCTCCATTCGATGCAATACACCTGTTGAGACTTTTTTCACAGCTCAAAACAGTTTTTGAACTTGTCAATTTGGTGTCTTTTAGTGCTTCTGCCATTTTTTGTTTCACCTCTTCCACATTGGCAAAACATCTCACTTCGAGAACCTTTTTCATCCAGAGAAACAAAAATAAAAGTCACTTAGGGTGAGATAGGGTGAATGGAGAGGGTGGGGCATGGAGGTCATGCAGGTTTGTGTCAAAAACTGTTGAACACTTAGTGCAGCATGGGCAGGTGTGTGCGTAAATCACCCATCATGAAATGGGCAGACACACTGAAAGAGTCTTCAAAAACAAAAGAATTCACTGAAGCAGAATGCAGCCTCTCACAACAACATCAGCTGGCACACTGATACAGATGGGTTCCTATAACACTCAGCTAGTGGGGAAAGCCTGTACCATAAAGGCCCACCCTCCAGAAGATAATTACAGTTTTTTTGAATCCCCCCTTCACATGTTTTCCTGCCTCTTGGATAAATACCCAGGAGTAGAATTTCTGGGCCTCAGAGTAGATGTATTTATAACTTTTAAAGAAATTCCAATTTTCTAAAGTGCTGTACCATTTTATACTCCCACCCAGAAATGTATGAGAGTTTTAGTTGCTGCACATCTTCACCAACATTTGTTGTTGTCAGTCTTACTTTAGCTTTTCTGTTGTGTGGATCCTGGTCACTCAATGGCATATTTGATTTAGCTGCCCTTCTCACTTGCTCACGAGCGACTAGAAAGATATGCTTTCTTACAGGCGCAGATGATGTGGCTTAGGTTACAACTTTTGGGATGCGCTGGGACGTGATGGCTGGGATCAGGTCGATGATAGTTCTTCATGTCCTGGGTGCAGACCCAGCCACTTTTTCCACTCAGGCACTGGGTTTCCTTCTCGTTGGGTGGAATCTTTCTCCCCCTCTAAACTTTCAACCTCATGCAGAGTCTCCAAGAATCTGGGAACTTTGCTTCCCCTAGGACTGTTTTAAGCAGTAATAAAGAAGAGAAATTTCCCCTGTGTTTGGAAGTTTGCATTTCATATTTGTATGGGGCCCCTCAGCTGCGGTGATCAGGAGAGAGAATTGAAAGGCACAAGAAAAGCTGGGAGAACCACAGGAATCTGACCCAGAAATGACCTTGGTACCTGGTGTGTCTGTTGCTCGTGTGTGAGATAAAGCAAGCAGCACTAATCACTTCTTGGAATGGACCTTCCATTTTCCTGCCAGTTCTGAGGGCTAATTGTGGTGAGAGGAAATTTTCTTGATGTTCAGATATCAATTATGCTTGAATGCGGTAAGATTGTGCCGCACTTTCACCGTGGCAATTTCATGGTTTGTGATCTCAGAAAAGTAGGATTCATTCCCTCACTCAGAGATCCAGCAGAGTTTTGGCTGTGGAGCGCGGGAATGAAGGCTCAACCCAGACTTTGGCATCAGCTGCATGTTGATGCCACAAAACATGGTCACGACTCTTGAGCCACCTAATTTGTGCTTAAATTGTGCACAAATTCTACCCTAGATGGTACAAGGATGTTGTTGTTGTTGTTTTAGCATCTTTACAAATTTTTAAGGCTCCTGGATCTAGTTTTCATGTGGTTGGGGTCAACCAGCCACACACTACAACAGTTTCGGGGCTATTTGTAGCACAGTTGTTAACCTTGGTTGTTTAGAGGTTGGTATGCACCCTGTCTGGCTAAGAGTGCTACTTTGGTAGTAGAGGAGGCAGGCTGAAGGCGTCAGAGGTCAGGCATTTGGGTCAGTTTGAAATTGAGGACCAGCAAGGCACAAGAAAACTTGAGGGTGCATTCAATTGGAGGGTGTTTAGAACATTGTGTCCAAAGGAAACAAGCGGATACTCTCAGTTGAGTAGTGATTCCTGTGTGTCAGGGCTTGTCCTAACCCAGTGGGTGCAAGTGATGAGTTAAGGGAGAGCTGCTGGACTCTCTCTTAAGGACTTGATAGTTTCAGAAGAAGAACAGGCATGAAGTCAGCTCAGTGCCGTGTGAGAGCTGTGTGGCGGTTTTAGCAATGGCTCAGAGAGTGAGCTGTTCTCTCTCTTAATTTACAGGATCAGTGGTTAGGATTTTGGTGAGGGTTTTAATCTAACTGATGAATTCCCTAGGTTGGTGATTTTTTTTTGTATCCTTCTCCCTGTCTACCTCTGACCCCTCCCCCCAGCCTTGGCTGGGCTGGAAAGATTGCCAATGCACCGTGAGTCTAGTTCACCGCCTGACTAAAGCTGGGTGCTGAAGAGGCAGTGCCCAGGAATCACAAGGTCCTACGTTTACTTCATTTCCCTCTCTGCCCATCCCTTGTGATCACACGGACTGTGCCGCAGTTTCTCTCACTGAGAGGGAACTGGGAAAGGGCTGGCAACCAACAGCTGCCACAGGGACTGAGCAAATCCTCCACGGGCACCCCTTCCACCACCTGAGCAGGGGGCTCTGCCCTTGCTCTAGGACTGGGGTGCCCAGGGGTACCTTAACCGTCACTTCTGTGGGGAAGGGGACTCCAGATGGTGGTCTTCATGCACAAGATGTCTGAGCCTGATGATGCCTTTTCCAAAGTCCCTCCACCAATATAGATCCCAAGTGGACAACAGAGGTACCCAGTGGAATCATGGTAGAAAGAGGACAAGAACTCTTAGCCTCTTGTCGTGATGCATGAAAACCAGATCCCATGAGACCCTCTCCCTTCAGTTAAACACACGCACATATGCATAAATGGGTCAAAACAATAGTCGTGATTAAAAAAATAACCCAACCTTCCAGAGGAATGGCATTCAGAACTTTCCTTCCCAATACTGGATGGCTGAGTCATTCGCAGTCCTTTAGGTCTCTGAGGAAGTGTGGCAGGCCATGTGTATTCTGTCCTGAAACTCTTGATTAATAAGAGTAGTGATGAAGGAAATACTATCTATACATCCTACCACACACCTCATGTACTGTGAACACTCAGAAAACTCATCCCCTCTTGCTCCAGTCCATCCAGAACTGAGAGGCAGACCTAGGCTGGGGGCCTGGATGGCCTGGCTCCTCCCGGCCTCAGAAATTCCAGATTTGGAAGGATTAAGCTATCTGCTGTGGAAATGCTTAATTCCTTTTCTCTGGACATTTTTGGAAGGCTTTCTGCTTTTTTAATCTCCTGACTTCTTGTTTGTGACCAAGTTCAAATTCCAGAGAGGGAAGCAGCCAATATGTGTGATTATTTCCTCTTGCACCAAGTGGAACTAAAAGAATGAACTTACTTCACTAGAAATAAATGTACCCTTTGGACCTTAAACTCAAATGAGTGTGCATAGTCATTCTGGCCCTGCACCGTTTGTGCAGTAATTAAACACAAAAATGGAAAGAAAAAAAAAGATGTCAGAGGCATGCTTTCACAATCTTTTTTTAGCCATAAGACAGAAAAGAATAGAAGAACTTTTTGAAGACAAGCCTTTTTTTGGGTCCTGTGCTCTGCCGCTGACGGGATGGACGCCTTGGCAAAAAGGGCAGACCCGAGGGCTGCAAGTGACGAGCTTGCACTGTGGCTCCGTCGGTCAAGAATCGTGCAGTATTAGGCAAATCTCTTAACTTCTCTGAGCTCCAGTGAAAAGACAGGAAACAAAACTTCACAGAGTTGTTATAAGGATGGGAAGAGATAATGTGCATAAAGCTTTTAGCATGGGGCCCTGTCCAAGGCAGACTCTCACTAAACGGGCATTATTATTATCATAAGAAAATGCCTACAACATAGAAACTTAAGGATGCCAGTGTGAACTCAGTGCGGAGCAGCTCAGGGCTGCTGTGCCCAAGGCCCTCGCCTCGAGTTCGTGGAGCTGCTGGGGGCTGTGGGCATGTGGGCCACTGTTTCTCCCTTGCTGTGCCCCTCAGGTGATCTCCTCAGCGTTCTGGACTTCCCGTTCCTGTACTTCTACAGATTCCACGGCAGCTGCTGTGCCAGGTAATCTCAACTCGCAAAACCCTTGCACTATTAATTGGCATTTCTGTACTACCAGGGGTGTCTTCCTTTCCCTGAAGTTCAGGGTCACTGCCATCATCCAGGTGAGTAGCAGTGGTGGTGGGCAGGAGAGCAGCTCCCCGGACCATCTGTGGGTTGTTATGAACACCCTCGGGTGCTCAGGGCTGGCTTGGGGCCTTGGAGGACCCCTGTCCTGCAGAGGATTTTAGGCCACAGCAATGGTTTGCAAACTGGCTGAAGAGCTAGGATTTCTGACTTGTTTTTTCTTCATGAGCAATTCTTTTAACTTCAGTATGTAACACTGATGAAACTGGAAGAGTTCAAGGGAAGATTTGGGTCCACAATCCTGCCCTGTCAGCTTTCACCTTGGCCTTCCTCTTGTTCCTGAGAGGGAGCAATCTCCAAAAAAAGCCTCAACTGATCCCCAAAACTATGAGGGATAGATTTTGGAAACCATTGACTAGGAGATGTCTGGGCAACACTGTGATCATTAATGTTGGCCTTGGGAAGTACTCAGGGATCTAGACCAATTCAGTGGATAGAATCACAGACACAAAAATTTATAACTATCCTACTTCCCTTTCCTGCCGCACTCTCTTTGCTTGACTTTATAACAGTCAGAATGGAAAGGGTTCTGTGGACAGTCTCAAAGCATGTATTCTGATATGGTGGGAAATCCAGTCTTGGGTTGAAGTCCAGCCTTGCTGCTTCCTACTTGTGTGGCCTTTGGTCAAGTTTTCCTAGTTCTCCCAAGCCTTCATTTAGTTTTCTCATCTGTAAAAGGGAAACATAATAGCAATGCAGGGTAACTGTATGTACTGAGTAAAGTATTTAAAGCCCTAGCATTGGGTCTGGCCCAATAAACGATGGCCATTTTATTATCTGCTTAGGTCACCTGCACATAAAATGCCAACAAACCGTGAGCAGTTGCTACATATCAGTCAAACCGCCTATGTCCACACTCATAGGATTGTACCTCGTTGTGCAGTGATTCTTCACAGAGAGCCAAAAAGCCCATATGTAGCTGGGTACTGTTTCCAGTGGGGGTGTATTAGGACCAAAGGAACCAATGATATAGAGTCTGCTTCTGCATATGAGCCTCAGAATGATTTACCAATCATTCTAAGAAAAATTCAGGAGAACGCTGACAGAATTCATCTTCCCCGTTCCTGTCAGTTTGGTCAGGCCTTGCCGCTTGGCGTGGATTGTGTGGCAGGGGTATCAGTGCTGCTCCAATGCCATGGACCTGTGTGCCCTTGGTCCTGGGCAGCACGGGCAAGCGGGTGGGGGATGGGCTGTGGTCTTTCGGAACAGAGCAACGCAGTCCACAGCCCGTCGTTGTTGGCTTTGTGGGATGGCATTCTGGCTCCATTTCTGCCTCTTTTAATCTGAAACTTTCTCATAATCCAACATGAAAAACCAATTTGAATTGATTTAATTCTCTGTCACATTTTGCCCCTTGGCTTCAGTACCAAGCTTAACCCCTTTTAAGCGCATCTCATCTCATGACTCCCCCAGGTTCTGCGGGAGCTCAGAAGGGGTCGTGGCAGTCAGAGGGGATGGTATTAGTAGCCAAGATCTGGATACCCCATTAAGAAGGAGCCCAGGCTCTTCCACTTCTGGCGCTCCCCCGTTGATTTTAAGATCTGCCTCTATAGCAAGAGGAGAGCTGAAAATGAAAGTATGGGTCAAAACCCAGGAGACGCTCAGTTCCGGAAAACAGTCTGTGCCGAGGGGCGTGGTCAACACGGAATCCTGCCCTTCCTCCGGCATGGTGGAGAGGAGAGGAAAGGACCGGAGGGGATGGCGGTACAGGGAATTGGATACGTGCCTGTGAAGTTGTTAGCTCCTAGGACGCAGTGGGTGGATGCGGCCAAGAAGAGTCCTGGACGCTCTCTGTCTTGCTTTCCACACCCAATCTCACGGCCACGGCACCTGCACCATCTCACACTGTCTCTCTGGTCAGGATCATCTGTGGTGAGGTTTGAAGCGCTGTGGAGAATTATTCAAAGAGCCAGGAAACCTGGATTATAATTGTACCTGTGCCTCAGTTTGCTTAATAAAGTGAGAATTGGGGCTGGTGAACCTTTCTGTTATGAAAATCTCTGATTTCCAAAAAAAGGTAGGATGGGGACCACTATCTCATTCCTGCTTTAAGAACACAGCACCTGAGGCCATCAAAAAAGAGAAAAAGGAAAAATAAGTGGGGGATGTGCTTAAGGTTACTAGGGTCATGAGCACAGCCCAGAACAGAAATTCAGGTCACTTGATTTTCAGCCTGCCGCTTACCCACAGGGGCCTCCTTGCCTTTTGGGTATGACTGACTCAATGTCTTGACCTGTAGCTGCCACCCTTCCATCACTACAGATGCCAATGCGAACGAGTTTGTGGGCCAGCCAGGCCAAACAGGCTGATGTACACACAAGGGAAGCCTAATGCATATCTCTGAGGCTGCCCAAGAATGTGCCTGTGGACTAATCTAATCTAATGAAGTGAAGGCACACATTTCTGTGAAATTTGGCCTTAATTTAATTCAAACTGCTTCCAAGTAAGCCTGTGAAACATTGCTGTAATACCTACGATGCTCAAGGCTCCAGGCTTGGCCCTGTTGGAGAAAACACAGAGAAACCTGAGGTCAGGCCCCACCCTCTCAGAGCTCAGGATCAAGTTGGAGCCACACACCAGTGCCTGTGATAAAGGTCAAATGGCAGTGTGACTGACGCTCGAGGCCTCGGGAGTGCAAATAGGTACAGCTCATAAGACTTGCCTCTTTGGTTTGGGTGTAAATGCAGTCGTGTCTCTTGCTTTTCAATTTTTTTTTCTTTGAAAGATTGTATTGATTTTTAGAAAAAGGAGAAGGGAGAGAGAAAGAGAGGGAGAGAAACATCAATATGGGAGAGAAACATGGATCAGTTGATTGCCTCTCACATGCCCCCAACCAGGGACCTAGCCTGCAACCCAGGCATGTGCCCTGACTGGGAATCGAACCAGTGATCTTTTGGTCTGCAGGATGACACCCAACTCACTGATTCACACCAGTTGGGACTCTTGCTTTTCAATTTTCAATTCCAAGTGAAAGTTACACACAGGAAGTCAGCCTTTCTGCTATGCTTTCTTCCCCAGTCACCATGCCTCCAGATGTCAGGAAGAGTGACCGTTCTGGCTGGAGTTCCCTTTGCTTTGGCCTTGGCCACCCAATGTCACTTTTGAAAATGGATCCAGTGCAGGCCATGATTGCCCTGCCCACTGCCATGTCCATGCCTTGCAGGTGCAGACCTCTGAATAGTCCCCGAGATGCTGCCCCAGACTCAGGCTCCCATGGCGGGGGCTCCTTCAGGTCACACACCGGGCGTAGGCATCATTTCTGAAGTGCAGTTTCTGGGTGGGTGGGCCTGGTTTGGGGGACTTCTGTTACTGGGGCTGCCCTCCCCTTTCAGATTCTCCCCTGGAACCCAGGGACAGTTACAGCTAAACCCTCTGTCCTCATACAGTGAATTTCCCTTTGAAATTCTCTTCCTGGCAGTTTGTTCTGCTTGGAAAAAGATTGAAGCTCTACCTTGGCAAGCAGCAAGCTCCATAATTATTGTCCTCCACATTTTTTTTCTTTTAAATTTCTGTGCCCTCCCCCACCTTTAGTACAATGCTCTCATCATAGCTTCTTAGAAAAGTAGAGCTTAATGGGTTTTTAAGTTTGGGGTGTTTTTATCTAGAGATCACTATAAACCACTGATGAAATAGATGTGTAACAGTTAGAAATCGACTGGTAAAAATAACAGAAAACAGTTACCTATTGGCTCAAAGAAGATAAGCCTCACTAACAAAAAAACTATTTTCTCCCTTCAGTGGGTTTTTAGGATTCTTCCTCATGTTCAGCACAGCCAAGCTAAAAAGCCTTATGGCCCCGGGGCAGTGTGCAGCCTGGATTTTCTTTGCGAAGGTAAGAGGGAGGGAGGGGTGGGGAAAACGAGCCCAGGGGCCTCTGTGTCTGGTGTCCTCGGAGCCTCTATAAAGGCAGGGTTGGTCTTCATGGAATCACTTCCAGTCACTGGCCCTCAGCCCGCTCCGCACTCATTCAGCCAACAATTTCCGAGACCATTTTTGTCATGCTCCTGGAAGGTGACCTGCAGAAGCCCCTTTACTTTCCTGAGCCTCATTTCTGCATCTGAACACGAGAGGTTCTGCCAAAACAAAAATCTTTAAAGCTTCTCCAGTTCTAGGAGGCTGGACCCCTGGATGCACAGGGCTGTTCTTATGTCCCTTCCCGGGAGCCGTGAGGATGTTCCGAACACAAAAGAGGTCTCAGCCCATCAGAGGCGATAGAGAAAGGAAAACAGGCAAATGACCAGTTTGGGGGACTTTGATGAAGACTTCAAAAATGGGACGATTGTAAGAATGCCCATTGTGTATCTGACTGACCATGGTTGAAGCGTGAGAGGGACGGTGGGGAAATAAGAAGAAACAGAAGGAGCAGGAAGGCAGCTGTGGCAACGCGACCTTAGCTGGGACGCCCGGGGCTGGCTCCTCCAGTGGAGCACTTCATTCCTCTAGTACCTGTGAAGGAGTCGAGTTGCAGGGCCCTTAGGTGCTGCTTCCGACGAGTGGTATTTCTTAATCAATTTAATCTAATGAAATAATCATTTAAACTTGTGCCTCTATATTTGTGGTTGATTTTCCACCCTGGAAAACAAAGGTAAACATTTTTCTTTGAAAATAAGATTTCACAGTGATATTTTCACCTGCATGGTCTACTTTTAAAACGCATTAATAACCCTAATTCCAGCAGAACATGAAGAGTGGCTGAGATACTGACTTCCAGGATGATGGAATGAGTCGGTTGACAAATCTTCTCCCCCCAAATCAACTAGAAAGCTAGACAAAAACTGTCAAATATATCCATTTTAGCTCTCTGAAAACTGACCAAAGACATACAGTCTGAGAAGCATTTATTTGTTCATGAAAACTTCTAAGCTTTGGGTAGGAACAGTGTCAGTTTGTGGCATTCTTGCCTAAGGTTGCTTCCAGTCCCTCCTCCCCAGCTCTGTCAGTGTGATGTTTAGGGCGGGCTGTGGAAACCAGCAGCCTTGACGGTGCTTCCAGAAGACTCCATTTGGAGTATTTTCAGTTAAAGTGGCCACGTCAGTGGTAAATGAACAGGAAGAGCCAGTAGCTCCACTTTCTGGACTTTATAGTCCTTTTTGGGACAAGCGATGGACCAGTGGTCTAGCTGGGGACTTATCAGATAGTTCTCGGAGATGAGAGAGCTTGGCGACTCTCCATGTATTGCAGACTGACTTTAGTCTGTACGCACAAGCAGCAGAGGTGGAGTGCGTCGAAGACATCCACGCACCTCTGGCCGACAGAGCCTGGGAGTGCACAGGGAGGAGATGTGAGGGAGCCAGCAGAAAGTAAAGGCTGGGGCAGACAAGAAAACCCCCTGAAATTCAAACGTGCTCCCATCCACACACAGTAAGAGCAGAGAGAAGTCTTTCCAGCTCCAGGTGTGTGAGCAAACCCCCTGACCAGCCTTCCCCAGAACACTAAGCTCTGCAGATTTGGAGATGACCCTAGGAAAGCGGCCTCAAAATAAAAACAAGGAAAAAGGTGGGTGAAGACCTCAGCAACTGTACTTTGTATGGGAGACAGACTTTACAGACTTAGTCCAGGCAAACTACTAAACAAGCACAATGATACCAACAACAATGCTCTGGGAGAAAATCAGAATCTGGAGTATTTTTTTTGAAGTATTCAGTATTCAACAAAAAATTAGAGGCATTCAGAAAACAGGAAAGCATCATTTATGCATGGGAAAAAAGTGATCAATAAGAACTGTGTCTGAGTGTCCCTATCTTTGGAACTTTGCAGAAAAAGACTATGGCACAGCTATTTAAATATGCTCAGAGATATAAAGAAAACCATGTTTAAAGAATTCAAAGAAAGACTCTATGAATACAGAATCTCAATAAAGAGATAGAAATGATTTTTAAAAAGAGAATGAAATGGGAAATATGGAGTTGAAAAGTGTAATAACTGAAATGAAATGAAAAATTCTCTAGAGGAATTCAGTAGCAGATCTGAGAAGGCAGAAGAAAAATTAAGTGAACCAGGAAGTAAAACAAAAGAAATTATTGAATCGAAAGAAAAAGGTTCTTTTTTTTTTTAATTGGAGAAATACAAACAGAGTGTAGAGACATGCAGGGCAACATCAAGTCCAGCAACACACATATAATAAGAATTCTGGACAAAGAGGAAAGAGGGATAGGAAAAAAATAGGATTAATGGATGACTTCTCACAATGGAAAAATTGTGGAAAACAATGGAAAAATAACACATTCAACATGCTGAAAGAAAAATCTCCAGCCAGGAGTTCTATATACAGCAAAGATGTGATATGAACCAGAAATAAAGATACGCTAATTTAAAGGCTGGGATATTCATGTCTAGCAGCCGTGTCAATAATTAATTTCATTTAAAGGTAAATACACTAAATACCTTACTTAAAAGTCAGAGATTGTCAGACTGGATAAAAAAGCAAGACCCAACTGCATGCTGTCTAGAAGAGACACGCCTTAGATTCAATAGCACAGATAGGCTGGAAGTAAAAAGCTGGATAACGGTGCAAACAGCAGCCATGAGAGAGCAAGCTGGAGTGACTATACCAAAATCAAATAAAATGGACTTTATGACAAGAAATATTACTGGAGAAAAACAGGGACATTTAATAATGATTAAAGGGTTAATGCACTAGGAAGATACAACAGTTATAAATGTGTACACACTTAACATCGGCAGCCCAAATTATATGAAGCAAAAAGCAACAGAGTAGAAGGGAAAAACAATAATAGTTGAAGATTCCAATATGGCACTCTCAGAAGTTGATAGAACAACCAGATAGAAAAGCAAGGTTATGGAAGGGTATGGATAATTTGAACAACACTGTCAACCAAATTGACGGAACTGCCATTCATATGATGCCTCACTGATTGACTACAGAGTGCGTATTCTTCTCAAGCACATATGGAACGTTCTCCAGGATAGATGTTATGCTGGGTCACAAAACAAGTCGCAAATTTTAAAAGATCGAAGTCATATTAAGTATCTTTTCTGACCATAAGCAGAATTAAATTAGAAATTCACAACAGAAAAAAAAATCTAGAAAAATCCACTTATTTGGAAATTAAATAACATATTCTAAATCGCCTGTGAAGCAAAAAAGAAATCACAGAAGAAATTGAAAATATTTTGAACCAAATGAAAACAAAAACCTATATCAAAATTTATGGGATGCCGCTACATTGTTGCATAAACCAAATTTATAGCTGTAAACCCTCATATCAGAAAGGAAGAAAGGTCTTAAATCAATAACCTAAGCTACCATGTTAAGAAACTAGAAAAAGAGAAGCAAACTAAACCCAGAGGGAGCAGAAGGAAGCATGTGATGAAGTTTAGTGTGGGAATTAATGAGATAGAAAATGAAAACAACAGAGAAAGTCAAGACTGGTTTTTTGAAAACATCAACAAAAGTGACAAACCTCTAGCTAGACTAACTAAGAAAATAAGAAAAAAGATACAAATTGTCAAAATTAAAAATGAAAGAAAGGATATCCCTACTGATCCTATAGAAACTAAAAGCAGTATATATTATTCATGTTATGAATAAATTTATGCCAGAATTTAGACAATTTAGATGAAAGGGACAAATTACCAGAACAACACAAATTAGAAATATTGACTCAAGAATAAATGGAAAATCTGAATACACTCATAAAAAGTAAATAAATTTAAGCAGTAAATAAAAATCTTGCCACAAGAAAAGCCCAGGCCCAACTGGCTTTACTGATGAATTCCATCAAACATTTAAAGAAGAAATATTTTTAGCAAGTAGAGGAAGAGGAATAACTCCTGATTTATTCTTCAAGGTGGGTTACCCTGATATTTTTGCCAGACAAAAAAACTGTCAGAAGAGTACAGATCAGTGTTCCTCGTGAATACAGATCTTTAACACAAATATTAGCAAACTAAATTTGGTGATATATAGAAGGTAACATACACTGTGATCAACTGAGTTGGCTTAACATGTGTAAGTTAATGTGATATATTTATTAATAAAGTAAAAGACAAAAGTATGTGATCATGTAGGTACAGAAAAACCACTTGACAAAATCAGCATCTCTTCGTGATAAAAACTCTCAGAAAACTAGTAATAGAAGGGAACCTCCTCAGCCTTATAAAGGCATCTGTGAAAAACCTACAGCTAACAATGTACTTAATGGTGACACTGAACACTTTTATCCTAAGGTCGGGAGCAGCACAAGAATGTTCACTCTTAGCACTTAGTCATCACTGTAATGAAAGTTTGGGAGAGTGCAGTAAAGAAAAAAATTGTTTGTATTCACAGATGACATTATTCTATATGTAGAAAACCTGAAGGAATCTATGAAAACACTAACTGAACTAAATAATTTATCAAGGTCTCAGAATGCAAGATCTTGTATAAAAAGCAATTGTAGGTTTGTATATTGGTATGAACAGTCATATTCATAAACATGAAATTAAGAAAACAGTTTCATTAACCATAGCATCAAAAAGAAAAAATAGGAATTTAACAAAGAAGTGCAAGATGTGTACACTGAAAACTACAAAAACTTTCTGAAATTAAAGATCTCAATAAATGGAGAGATTCAATATTGTTAAGATAAAAATTCTTTCTCAATTGACTGATAGATTTAATTCAATCCCCATCAAAATCCCTGCAGGATTCTTTGTACAAATTCACAGTCTGATCCTAAAATTTATTAGTGATGCAATAGCCAGAACAATTTTGAGAAGGCAAACCAAGTGGGGAGACTTACACTTCACAGTTTGGAAGCTCACTATGAAGCTAGAACAATGAAGACATTGTGGAACTGGCGGAAGGACAGGCATTTATGATCTGTTGAT